GGTGCAACCATGGATCCGTATGACACAGAGTCAGAGATCTCTTCAGTTGATGAGGATGGTGCACCCGATGCCAGAGTTTCCTCAGCAGTTCGGCAAGCTGTCAAACGCTTGCATGAGAACACAGGTCACCGTTCAAACCGTCGCTTGGCAAGGGCTTTGGTTTTGTCTGGTGCCCCCAAAGAAGTGATCTTGGCAGCCAAAACTTTGAAATGCAGCCTCTGTGATGAGAAAAGGCGACCCAAAAGCCATAGGCCGACGTCGTTGCCTACGCCCAAAGATGTTTCGGATCAGGCGCACATAGACATTTTTGAGTGTTCAGATATCACAGAGCAGCGTTTTTACATTGTGCATTGCATTGACTGGACCAGCAGGTTCCAGATGGCAGAAGCTTTGGAACACAAAGACTCTGACAGCATTGTTCATTGGTTCCAAGAACGTTGGATGAGCGTGTTTGGACCTCCAAGGGTCATTGTGGCCGACCAAGGCCGCGAATTCATTTCCTGGGCAACCCAGGATGATTGGAGATGTGTTGGGCAATTTTGGGCAGAGGCTTGCTGAACATGGTCTCATAGATGGACGCCCGTCGCTGGCGAGGCAAATTGCTTTGAGAGAAACAGCCAAAGTTGCTATGACCAGGCATTCGTAGAGCCGAGCTTGCGCGATCCCGGAGCTCCACCATGTCACAGCCGCTTGAACCTGGGGACATTGTTTATTTTTGGCCCAAGTACAACTCCAAAACTGCACCTTCGAAGAAGAGGTTGTCCCTGAGGAGATGGCATGGCCCGGCCCTTCTCGTGGCCCTAGAAGGTCATAATGCTGGATATGTGTCCTTTAAGGGACAGCTTTCAAAGTGCGCCAGAGAACATTTGAGGAGCGCCTCGTCGATGGAACAGATTTCTGCAGAGGTCTGGCACGATGCAATACAGGATTGCGTTGAAGCGGCGTTGCATGATGTCAAACGACAGAGCTCCGAAGATGTTGGCCCAAACCTTCCACCACCACCGACGCCCTCAGTGGCAGTTGATCCAAGTCCCTTACCGACAGTGCCTGAACAACACGCAGTGCAAGATGATTTGCCACCTGTTGCCCCAACAGAGTTGTTTCAAGCCCTGGATGGAGGAGGACTGGGTGTTTTAGGAGGAGGGAGTCACTTTGGGAGCGAGCTTCCAGGCAGTGGCAGTTTGAGCAGAAGAGCATCTTCCATGGCAGCTTCCAGTCGCTGTCCCTCGCGACAAATGAGTCATGCTGCACCTGGCACGCCTGTGCCCCAGTTGATCACAGGTGCCAGTCAAGCATCGCCGGTCACTCCACCGTTGAGTTCCCGCTTGTCAGCTTCGTTGGATGCTGCTAGAGAGCTTGACGAGCAGACGGGAGTGAAGAGGCCTTCGGAGGTTGAGTCAGAGCAGCCCCAAAAGATGCTGCGTGAAGATGAAGAGCATTCAGTGTTGGTGGCCACCTCAGTGATTCAGAATGTGCTCAAGACCAAGCAGGCACTTGTTTCCAGGTATGCCAAAGACACTGCAAATCAGTCCGTTCCAGATGTTGAGCAAGCGCCAAAGCAAGATGAGATTTTAGAAAATATCCTCAAGAATGCCACCATGCATCCCTTGAGAGCGATACAACTGCAAGTGGAGAAAGATAAGAAAGCAGATGGCAACCTTGCAGTTCAAGACCATGGCAGCTGGTCAGGCAAGTGGCCTTTGCCTACCCGCACATCGTGGGAGGCGCATGAGATCAGTTGCGCTCTTTGGCCTTGTGGAGAACACGAAGTCAATGCAGCCAAGACAGCTCGTCGTGAAGTGAAATGGAAGGACATCCCCATGCATGAGCGAGCTGAATACCGGAAAGCAGCTGAAACCGGTTGGAAAGTTCAGGTTGACAATGGTGCTTTTGAGATTCTTTCAGATGAGGAGTCCGAGCGCATCAAGGCAAAGCTGAGAGCATCCGGTCAGTTGCACAAGATCCTCACACCTCGGTACATCTATACCGACAAGCACGACGGTCTCAGGTCAGACAGCAACCCGTTGCCCTTGTTGGCCAACGCGCGTGTGGTCATTCCAGGGTACAAAGATGAGACTGCATACAGTGTCCGCAAAGACGCACCCACAAGTTCTCGCAGTTCGCAACACATGTTGTTCATTGTTGCAGCAGCTCGCAAGTGGTGTTTGTGGTCTGCTGATGTGAAGTCCGCCTTTTTGAAAGGCGAATATTTCCAAGAAGGTGAGCGTGAGCTGTACATTTGCAACATTCGTTGCACCTCTGCTGACGAGCCGATGCTTCCTTTCAGTGCTGGCGGCTTAGCCCGTGTGCGAAAAGGAGTTTTTGGATTAGCAGACAGCCCGAGACGATGGTATCTCCGGTTGAACAAGTCACTTCTTCGCTTGGGATGGCGTCGCAGTGACATGGATGCAGCTCAGTGGTTCCTTTATGGAGCCGATGGCTCCCTACAAGGCATTGTGGTCAGCCACGTCGACGACCTCTTGATGGGAGGAACAGACCTAGCTGGCAAGTCCCTCAGAGCCCTAGGTGATGAGCTTGGGTTCGGATCGCTGGAGACAGGTTGTTTCACGTATTGCGGCAAACAAATCAAGCAGAATGCTGACATGACCATTGAGGTCAGTATGCAGCATTGCTGTCCCTGTTCACCGCAAGACTGTCCCTGTTCACCGCAAGAAGCAACTTGAAGCAGCGCTCACACCTGCCGAGCATCGCCAGTTGAGAGCCATACTGGGAAGCTTACAGTGGTTGGCGGCTCAAGTGAGGTGGGACATGGGATTTCACCTCAGTGTGTTGCAAGGCGAACCTCCAGTTGTCAAGACATTGCTCAAAGCGAATGCCCTGGCCCGTTTGATGAAACAGGATGCTGGATTCAAGCTTCGCTTTGGTCAGATGGACCTACAAGGTGCTGGCATTTTGGTGGTGACAGATGCTTCATTAGGCAATGTCACGAGAGCCGGCGGAGCGGATGGTACATTGTACACCAAGGTGTTCAGTCAGGCCGCTTACCTTGTGTTGGTTGCAGACCGCAACCTCATGAGTGGCAAGCAAGGACGATTCGGAGTGTTGGATGCCCGCAGTCACAGACTCACAAGGGTGTGCCGCTCGACATACGGCGCCGAATTGTTGGGGTCAGAGGAATCTCTGGACATTGTGCTCTTCTCCGAGGATTGCTTGCTGAGGTTCAAGGCTTTAGCGTCTTGAAGGGGGACGAGCAGCTCAGTACAACAGCTCCATTCCTTTGGGGCTGGTCACAGATGCAAAAGATGTGTACGACAAGAACACATCAGATACGCCAACCTACGGAAGCCAGAAATCATTGGCATTTACAGTGGCTTGGACGCGTGAAGTCAGTCCTTCGCAAAGACAAAACGCAGATCCACTGGACTTCGACCGAAAATATGCTGATAGATTGCGGTACAAAAGAGATGAAGTCAGACCATCTCAAAGCAGTGCTGCACCAAGGCACACGGAGCATTACATACAACCCTCGTTTGAAGGCTGCTGCTCCAAAGGGACTTTCTCTCCCCGGTCGACTCCTGAGCGCTGATGACCCCATGTTGAGCCATTTGATGCGGCTCGCTGAGAGACCCGGCTGGCACTTTCAAGACCCACACGGAATCCACGTGTGTAGGAACGCAAGATCCTTTCGCGGTCCGGCTCCGAGATTCAATGCTGAATCATTTCCCTCCGAACGACATATGCTCGATTCGACCCCGACCACCAAGCTGAGTGGAGAATCTTGGAGAAGGATGTGAGAGGTGGCAGGTTGGACATGATCGGCGAGACCGCCGATGTCCTGGTGACGCTTTTCGGGCCAGATCCAAACCCCAAAATCAACAAAGAAATGGATCAACTGAAGAAGATTGCTTGAGTTTGGGTTTGTTCCGGATTGTGTTTCGCCCGCGGCCTTTTTACCTTACAGGCCTTAAACCATTTGATGTCGCTACGCATTTTGAGCGGAAAGAGTGCCTTTTGAGCTTTCACATATGTCGATATGTTACATCCGATTCTACCCCAGCGTGCTGCGTGCTTTTGAAGTAGAGGAGAAAGCCATGACCAAGATGCGGAACATAATCTAGGACGATCTTCGTAGCATTTTGATAAGACTTTTTGTGCCATAATGCTGCAGGAGTTGATTGGAATGACATCAGCAAGCCGCTTATGGACCATATCTCTCCGTGGTTTGGATATTTGTTTGTTGGCTTTGTCGCATATTGCGTATTAGCACTGCTCAATGTGATTACTGGAACTTTTGTTGAGGCTGTTTCGCGGCAAGCGGATCACTTGAAGGTTCGCATGCAGATACTCCAAGCTCGAAAGGTTTTTCAACAGATGGACATGGATGGCTCAGGCAGCATTTCACTGCAAGAACTGCGAAATCAAACCCTGACCCCCACGATCCTGGATTTCTTTGATTATGTCAATGTTGATCCTTCCGAAGCGCAGTATTTGTTGGAGGTTTTGGATGGAGATGGAAGTGGAACGATAGCTTTCGAAGAGTTTCTTCAAGGAACTTTGAGGTTGAATTGTTCAGCCCGAGCGGCCGACATGCTGCTGGTCGTGAGAGAGATCAAACGTTTTTTTGTTCATTACAATGCAGAGATGCAGCTCATTAAGCGGCATCTTCACATCATCAAATGATCTTGGGACACCTTGACATCAATTCTCAGTGCAACTGCACCGCAGTCCAGAACTGTGGTGTAAGAGGGTTTGGGATGCCTAATCCCTTCTCGTTGCGGGCAACATTTGTCCCGCTGTGATTTTGCAACTGCCAAGTGTCAGTATCGTTGCCAAAGGCATGATGTGCTTTGATGCGTAAGACGGGCTTAATAATGCAACAAAACGTCCACATTCTTTCTCATTAATGTTCGGCGTGTGGCAAGTATTCAAAGCTTCTGAGAAGCTTACTGCAACCACGAAACACCTGCAAATAAGGTAAAGCAAAAGGGTGGTACAAGTCTTGTTTGCGCTTGATTCCTTAACTCCTTGAACGAACTAAGGGCTTTGATTGGTTTCACTCCTGGCGCCCTGAGCTTATTCTTTGCATGATGCTTCAGATGCAATAGGCCTCAATAGGCTGAACGGAAGGGCCTCAATAGGCTGAAGAGAATAAAACGATACGCAGAGAAATCGTTGGTCTGTGTTTTCGAAGAATGAGGAACGCCGCCGTTGTTTTCTCGATGACACCGTTGTTGCCGTGGCGTTCGTTCGGCCGTGAGGGAGAAACCCCATTGGCCCCATGCTTGAGGCCCCAACTAGGGACCGGAAGCGAAACGAATGCCCTTAGCTACTAGTAGCTTCTTGTTACCAGAGGAGCGATGCACTTGTTACTGGTAAGCAAAAGGTGCATGGCGTTTCCATGGCGGCCCCCGTTTCCATGGCGTTCCGCGTTTCGGTATGCGTTCGATCTCTAAGGTTGACCTGGGCTTTGGACATAGCACTCCTTGCACCGACTGAGTCGGTTTTTCAATCGAGGAACGAAAATTGCCTAGATCAGATCTGTTTTGGCATGGTCCAGGGGCGAAACCCCTGGGCCTTGATCAGAGCGCAGCCAAGTCGAAAAAACCACAGTTTTGCCATTTTCCATCGGAGATTTGTTGCCAATTTGCACTGAAACGACAATTCTTCACAACATCAATGTCCTTTGGAATGATTTAGAACTGACATGACACGGAGCCTGTGGAACTACTGCTGCATGACTCAGTATGACATTAAACTGCATCGAATCACCAAGAAGAAAAGTTCCAAAAGCTTCCAGCAATGGCAGCTGTCAGACAAAGCGTATCCACATGGGGACTTGAAGCAAAATATGAATCCCAAACGAACCAGACAACCTGGAAGTATAACTCACCCTCGAAGTATAGCTATTCTCCACTGAAGCCCTTCTCAAAGTAGACGAACTCATTTCCTTCTTGCGCTCTTTAAGCTCCACCGTTCCTTGTTTTCCACGTTCCATGACACCACGGCATATGTAGCCTTCTTGCGGAATGATGGCATGTGCGCATGCTGGCGTGCCAAGGAGACTTCCTTTCCTTTTTTTGTTAACTCTCTTTTCTTCGGTTTGTATTTCAAAAAGACCAATGCCCAACATTCAGCGGAATGGAGTGGCATTGGTCCAATGCCATTCCATTCCGCTGAATGTTGGGATCACCTTCACTGTGGACAACATTGGAAGTATAGGTGGCGGAGATAAAGGAACTCAAGTTGGTTGACCAAGGGAAGGCCAGTGATGTATTACAAAGAAGAAACAACGATGCTCAATTCTACAAACGGGAGCAGAAGATTTACGATTGAAAAGAAAGGCGTAGAAGACCACTTAACGACAGTCTCATACAGTATCCATTTTTGAGCTCAAGCTCATGCGAAGATCGCACATGTGCCGGAGGAAACAGGAACTCCAGTATCCCAACTGCTTACAAGAAGCTACTAGTAGCAAAGGGCATCGCTACGAACGGAGCAAGGACGCTACTAGGGGCTCCTGGCCTTACTACTAGGAACAAGAAGCTATTAGAAACAATAAATGGAATTTAATTAGAAGCAAAGAAGGCTACTGGAACCTTCAGATCTCCAGAGTTCTGGTGTCAGTCGCCTTCGCATCCACAGCTCGAGTTTGGAGGTCTCCGAGGCGAAAAGCTTGTGTCGAACGAGTCGAAAAGGGCCTCATGTGGCCTTGGGGTGTCCTGGTCTTTGGCTTGTGCATGTCCCCAATCATCATGTTTGATGGTTTTTTGGCTTCGTAATGTCCAAGTTCCGTCATCTCAATTCTGCTTCTGTCACCCATGCTCACCTTCATTGCTAGTTCCATTTTTCCAAGCTATGGTACTATGACGCCACCATTGTCCTGTGCATATTCCAGCCCCAAGCATGCCCAAATTCTTCCGTCTCAAATCCACCTCACAATAGACTTGTCCTGGCTGGCGGGCTGGCGGATCCTCGCAATAGATTGGGTGGATGGGTGGAGGATTCTCTGGATTCACAGTTGCAGGACCAAATTGGCCTCGAGCACTGCGCATCGTGCAGCACTCATTGTAAGGATCTGCTGCGCTGGTTTCAGTGGTGCAACGATACCAGATTCTCGGAGAACGATACCGCAAGAGGTGCTGGGGCGCAGCTGTTGCCGAGGCCAGTGAAACACAGTTTGTTCTGATTCGCCTCACCGAATAGATTTATGTATTGACCTCAATTATTTGCTTTGCAGGATGGATTGGCACTCTTCGACACTTCTCGTGGCAGGCAACCTTTGCTGAGCAAAAGGAGATGCAAAGTCGTCAATGTCAATGTAGCTAATGCGATATCAACATGTATATAGCCTGTGAATCAGCATGGACTCATCAGAGCAATGACAACTCACAACCATTTCTTGGAAGGCTCCCAAAGTGGATTGCTATGCACTTCTCGGTTGGTTCCTTAAACGGCTTTTTGCTATCTTTTGTTGCCAAGCTAACCGGAATTTGATGTCAGGCGTCTCAGAGTCAGCCAGCTTGGAAGATATCCGTAAATCATATTTGCAGCGCAAGGGCTCTCAGCACTAGATCCTTGTACCACACAAAGCGTTTTGAAGAACACAATGCTGCTCACACTTAGCAGCTTGGAGTTGGAATTGAGGAGCAAAAAACTCTCATCCAGATGTTGCCGGTTCAGGCGACAAGCTGCATTCAAGGGTGTCACTGTACTGAAGGATACTGTAGGTGGCAATGTTTTCCACTGCAACTTTTTGTAATGTTCAAGTGTTCCATGTGTTTACTGGCTGAATGAATCATGTTCTTTAGATCTTTTGATTCGCTTGTGACCACTAAGTTACGGCTGCTTAGAACAAGAGCACTTGACAAAAACTTCACACACAAAAGAGCTGTAGGAAGTCAGAGTCGGAACCAGTCGTTGTCGCCACAAAAAATTGTCTTTCACTTTTGCGTCAGGCAACGAGATGGTTCAGCTGAACCTGTGCCGACAGCTGAGCTGCTGCAGCTGAAATATAAGCATTTGACAGCAGCAACAGCAACTTGCTGTTGTGACGCCCCCGTCTTCGAGTGCACCAGGCTACGAAGCCTTGACGCAAAAGCGCAAAGAGTATGACGCTGCCAAAGGTGTTGCAGGCGTGTGGGTTCGTGCACAAGTGATGTGTCACTGTCAACAAGTGTTTGGCGCAAAAGAAGGGCGCGTGCATTTCACCTTGTTTTGCTTCACAGGAAAAAGAACAACATCTAGTTTCGGCACAAATACTCGAGAAGCTTGGTGGTCAAAGCCTTGGCCTTTTTCCATCGGGCAAGACCACGCTAAACGTTGCTAAGCTCTGTTTCAAGGCGCGCACAGGGAGGCTTTGACGATTTTCAGGACAGCAAAGTCTCGGTTTGAAAGACACTGCGAGAACAGTACCAGAGCCTCTGACTCACTAACATGGAAGTGGAAAACTACGTATTTGTAGAGGAAAATGATCTTCCCAGTGGCCATTTTCCATCTCCATGAGTCGGAGTGTACGTTCTGAAGCTTGCTTTGTCTCAAAGCGAAGTGCACTAGTCTTTTGGTCAGGGCCTGTTCTTTTTGTGCTTGTATTGTATCGTTCTAGTTCTTCCATACGCCTTTCTTGTTTTGGCCAGCAGTACCGGTATCCTTGCAAATGAGATCCAATCAGTATAATTGTAATGTACAACTTGTGTATTTCAACTGCGCAGTTGAAGAACATGTGTATACTGTACCAGTTCCTTCTCTTGCATCAAATCCATGTTCAGACTTTTTTGAGAGTACCGATGTCTATGAAAAGGACGACTACTATCCGTTTCACTTTGAAGAGTTTGCAGAACGAAGGTGGCGTGTGAGCCTGAAAGGGAGACTGATTCTGGATGACTCTTAGAGATATCGGTCGCTCACGGGTTCGCACCAAATTGGTCTTTCGTTTTGCACCAGGACAGTCCCTGACTGAGGTCCAAAGAAACAAGCTCCCGAGCGTGAGCCCCGTGAGCAGCGTGGCGGGCTCAAAGTGATCGATGTGGTCGGGCTGAGCGGAGAAGACTCATCAAAACACAGTACATCGTTTAGAGTATCCTCTTAATTGTTCTGTGAAGAAAGGTCAAGCAGATTAGCAAAGTCGATTTATTTTACATGTCTTGCGCAAGGGGAGGAAAGGGGAGATGAGGCAACCCCAAAATCGTCCTCTTAGAGTTCAACCACAAGCTGTGCTGGGTGCACTCTGAATGTTGTGCGCAAGGCCGCCCCACATGGGAAGAGTTTGCTGAGATGTGGGACGAAAATGTGGCCTTCTGAGAGTGAGCGCTGCAGGCCAGTTTTGTAGTGACTGACGCCAACCGAAACGACCCATACTTTAACAAGAGAAAGCCTGTTTTGTAATCGGCCTGGCACAAGCATCCAACTATAGGAATCGTTGGGGTCACAGAACTTCTTGCAGAGGGGATATTCCAAACGATGGTTCTGCACAGCACACAGGTCTCACTCATGAAATGCTGACAGGGGTAGATCAAGACCCAAGATACAAGGTAAGGTTGTCCTCAAGCTCGTCCAGGTTCTTTTTGCTTGTGCCGACTGAGGAGTTCCAAGCCCAAGATGTGCGAGGTGCCACCGGCTCTGGCTTGACAACTGGTCCGAGCGGTGCGATTATGCCAGTTATCCAGCAAAGTTACACCGGTACACAACGGGTGGTGCCTTTGATTGGAGTTTATCGTTCATAAATTGAAAAGGGATCGCTCCTCCCACCTGCAACATAGGAGCACAGCCAACGTGAATATCCCCACAATATTGAGGTACAGACAACTGCTACTGAACACCCACGGAAAGAATGTGAGTGTTTGTCAAACTGGAGTCAAGTGCTGCAGTTCAGTGCCTGATCAGATCCGTCCCTTCCTCTAAGTTCCCTCACCTGATAGATGAGAAAGCTGCTTCTCAAATCAGGTCGGCGGAATCGCAAGCGCTACAGGAGAGGGAAGCCTGGTGCTGAGTTGTTGGGGACAGTGGCCCCTTGCTGCGGTGCTGCCCTGTTACGAATGGCTTTCACAGATGGTGGAGCTTGGGGTGGGATCATTGCAGATTTGCGAAGTAGTCACTGTTTATCACCAACGGAAGATTGAGTGAGACCACACATGCAATGGTTTTGTTTCAAACGTGCAGCTTTCGGGTCAAACGCGCCTCACGAAACTTTATCATATGCAAAAAAACATATCAAAAAAGTAATTTTCTCGAGGTATGCAATGTACGAAGAGAGCAGTGATGAGGACGATGTAGCAAAGGTCAAGCTTGCACCGCTTTATTGTGTGGACCCATCAGGACGAGTGGACCCCACCACCGCGGGCTCGAGGGCGCGATGCTCAACTCTCCTCAAGTTGTGATGTTCAACGGTTGGTCCAACCCCAAGGCGCAAACAGCGAGAATCCTTTCACCAGGCTTGGGCCCTGGAAAGCCTCCGCGAGAATGTGAATTTTCTGTTCCGCTGTTTTCACATCTTTTGAAGTTCCTGACTGCAGTCAGCAGGAGGCGCCAAATGCTTCCAGCCAGTGTCTCGGAGCTTTTGGAGCTGTTCAAGGGAGCGAGCAATTCTGACTCTGTCAAGCAATCTTCAAGGTGAAGAGGTGCCGGAGGAGATGTGGGCCATACGCTCAGATGGAATTGACAAATCAGACAAGTCACATGATGTGATCTTGTGTGCAGACTCGTGCGGAAAAGAACCATTCCCACTTTGTCCACTTTCTTTGATTTTTGCCAGTCTTGCTACGTGACTGCAGGTAGAGATCTCTGGCCGGAACTCGTTGGAAGCCCCAGCATGTGGCTTTGGGTTTGAGGCTGTGTGCTGCAGCGACGAATCTGAGGCACTGGGCATCCATCGGTGGCTCGTTTGCAAAGTTTGGAGCCTCAGTTTGCAGACCTGGAGGTGCTGCGCTTTTTGGAGATGGATGGGATGGTGACCAATCTGCCGCGGGAAATAGTCCATGTGTGATATGTTATTTTTTGGTCGTGATGAATTGACCTTCTGGCCTTTGTTCCAGTTCCAGCAAGTTCCAGTCCAGGACCAGATATTTGAGCGCTTCACAATTGACCAATTGATATGTCGTATTTTAACGGAGTAAACTGCCAGCCAACAGGCTAAGATCAGGAGTGAATAAATTGCTGATCTGCACAATCCTGATTGATGAGTTGATGGGTCTTGGTATCCCTGCTTTGCCGCAAGCTTTGGTTCTCGAAGTGGGTTAAGTTTCTTGCTAATCAGTGCTGCACTGAATTGTGCCTCCAGATGGAAGGGGCTGGCAGTCACTACTCGGTCCTTGGCTTGTCACACGAAGCATCTCTGGAAGAGATCCGAAAGGCACATCGATCTCTGGCTTTGAAATGGCATCCAGACAAGGCAGAACTTTGCTTGTCAAAGAACCGATCCAAACTGCAACCCCAAACCTCGTTATTTGCAACTACGCTGTTGTCATTGTTGTTCTTGTTCCCAAGCAGCATAGTGGAAAGGGAAGATCGGAAGATCCATGAAATCCTCACCTTGCAAAATCTGATTCTGGCTCGGGGCAAGGGTCGAGCTTAGCTGCCCTGTTGTAGACGAAAGACTTCTTGTGTCAGACATCATCCTGGCAACCCCAAAAAGCCATGAACTTGTGGCATTTTGGGACACTTCACGCTCGAAGCTTCGAACCGCTCGCCGCGAAGGTGGCCGACCCCAATGACCAGATTGCGGTCCGTGTTGCAACACAGCAGTTTCAGCTGGTCCAAGCTGCATATGAGATTCTATCAGATGCGCAACAGCGCAAGAAGTATGATGAGCAGCTCGGGCTCCATTTGCTTCAGGGTCAGAAGCGTGCGAAATCAGCCGGTGTCGGTGTTTCTGCCAGCTGGGCTCACAGTGATGCAGTGTCCCTGCGGGTGCCTGAGGATGTTACCACGATTGCTGCTGCTGTGGACCGGCTATCAGTGACGGGCGGTGTGATTGAGGTCAGTTCAGGCACTTTCGATGGCTTAATTGTCGTGTCCAAGCCCATGGTCAAGATCATTTGCACAGGTCAGGCGATCATCCGAGGTCAAGTGGTTTTTCGCGAATGTGCCACTGGTGCGCAGATCAAGAACTTTCGTATCCAAGCTTCCAGCAATGGGGGGGCTATAGATTTGAAGAGTGTGCGTGGTGATATCTCTATAGAGGACTGCAACATTAGCAACGACCTCTCTGCTGGCCTTGTTTTGGAGGGTTGTTCAGGTCATATTCATATCTCAGGCTGTGTCATTCACGATTGCAAGTTTGATGGCTTGGGACTCCACTTGCTACAAGGTGACAGCTCAAGCAAGGGTAGTGTGACGATCGAAACGTCCACCATCTCAAAAAATGGCTATGATGGCCTATATTTGGGAGACCCGCGTTTTGCCGTTGTGCTGCGCAACAGTCAGGTGCGCCAGAATCAAAGGTATGGTGTCTTAGTGCGCGGCACAGAATTTTGCATGGAGGGCAGCACTGTTGAGGAGAATGGTGAAGACTCTGTAAGAAGAGAGGACTTTGTGTACAAGCAGAATCCCAGAGGAACACAGAAGGCCGGGAAGGCTAGAGAGGTGGTGGCAGATCTGCCTGAAGGATGGCGCGCGTTTCGAAACACCGAGGGCTTGGTCTATTACTACCACCTTCAGACAGGCACGACCAGATGGTCCGTGCCCGGTGATGAAGTCTCTGAAAAGCCTTCGTTGGAGCAGAAGGCATCAAGCGACACCAAAAAACGCAACAGATGGAGCTGAGAAGTGGAGCACGGAGACGGAGAGAAGCACATCATTTTGCAAATTTCTGTGGAGAAGTGGAAGTGCAGATTCTGGGGTCGAGAGTTCCAGTGCTTGCAGATGGTGAGGCTGTCGATCTTTTTCTGGGGCAGATCTGCGAACTCCATAGGTGAAGATTGCAGCTTCTCCTCCTCATCCTCCAGCTCTAGGTCAGATCCACAGGCTAAGAGTCTGCTGACGCCTCTAAGATTCTGCGATGTCGGAACCCTTCGCATGAGTGAGTGTTGGGCAGAAGCTGCGCTGATAGTCATTGACATTGACCTACTTGGGCAGGTTCACCAGTCCGAAAAAATGAACTCAACCAAGAATTTCACGGTAAAGCAAAAAAACAACTAGAATAGACCTTTGCAGATTCGTGATGAGGCTAGAAAAAGCTTTCAACGGCCGGCCGGCATGGATCTCAAAATGTGTCAAGTCTCTTATTCATTGTCGTGAACTGGAAATCTGGATATACTGGATACGCACTGTCAATAGACTTGAAATGACCTGAAGCTCGGGATGATCTCAGTAGACGGTTCAGGCAATCACGGTCGGTGCTTGACCATGGGTGAGTCAAACTTGAGGCTTTTGAAAGGATGGGCGAGCCAAGCCTCTTCATGTTCTGGAGCCAACAGCCTTTGCCTTACCTCACAGTGCTGTGAGATGCTCTGCGTAGCACCTCACGGGTTGCCTTTACGGTCCAATATGGTCAACCAATGCCAGCCCGGCTTCGCTGTCCCCTCCTTGCCTTCCCTTTTTCTTGAAGTGCACATGGGCCACTTAGATTTGGTGACTGGAAGATTGCGGAGCGCCTGCAAGATGACGGTGCTTGCAAAGAGCCAAGTAGAAACAAAAGAGCCAACTTGAAGCTTTGCATTTGGTTCAGCATCACCAGCCAATTCCTGCGCCTCAGGTGTTGGCTTTGCTGAAGACATGAAAGGCCGAAGGAGGCCAGAACTCATGTGCCACACCACCGAAGGGCATGCAGTCCGACATCGCTGATACATCACTGATACGCCCTTGTGAATTTGTAGTACAGTGGCACACTTTTCTACGCCTAAAATGGTGCCGGGATAGGTTGGAAACGCATCCCAGGCCATGGCTCCAGCATCCCACCCTTCGGTGGCGTTTATGGGACCCAACGGCAAGACGGTTTGTACCGCGGCGTGTCCTGTCTTAATGGCGGCCAACGACTGGGGTCATGGTGTTTCCTTGAATCTCATACTGCCATATGATGCCCTTGTTACTAGTAGCTTCTTGCTACTAATAGCGAAGCCCTTGCTACTAACAACCCTTTCTACTAATGAAATCAGTGGATATGGATTTTGCTGTTTTGACATGTGGCTCTGGGCTGACTTGCCCCAAACGTATGTTGTTCGTTGTGAGGGAACTGAGTCTTTCAAGAAGTATTTCACAACTTGAACGCACCGCCAACACGGCTTACCAAGCCTTTGAAGTGTTGAGGTTGCCCCAGCAATGCTAAGGTCTAAACATCGATGCTTGCGCAGATGAACCCCCAGGTGTGGCACAGGTGAAACGTGTTGGCGAAGACCAAACCATACTGAACCTGTCAATGTTGCGAATGCACATGTGAGATTTGTTTTCCATTTTGCAATGCATTTCATGATGAGAGCGGATAGATGACATTCGAGTCACACCGCAATCGAATTTCAATTCTCAAATCCGGCCGAAGGGCCCTTGAGTCACCAGCGGCGACGACCTTCGCCATTCGTTTGGCATTGAAGAAAGGACGCATCGCGGCCTTCGAATTCTTTTTCTTTGGTTGCTTGGAACTTCGTGAGTTCAAGTACTTCGAGATTGGTAGCGGAGCCCAAGACGATCCTCCCGGAATTTGACCAGGGTGAACTTTTTGTTTGAAGACGCCTATAGGGTAATCCTGGCCGGTGAGAATTGGCTCATCTTAAAGATCACGTTCAGCAAGGCAGTCACAAATGAGTGGTCAGCAAAGAAGACAGCGAGATAGACCAGAAGGTGAACAACCAGTTGATGTCCCCATACCTCCTTCTCCTCCACGTGCAGCGAATGGAGCTAGTCCAGGAACTCCTTCCTCTGGATCCAACAACTATCGTGGATTGGATAGTGGCTTGGCAAAGGCCGCACCATCGGCCGAGGGGCTAACGCAAAGTGGCTATCGCAGCTACAGAAGACGATTGGAATTGTATGCCCTGCAGTGTCGTCGACGCTCAACGGATGCTGAGATTGAAGGTGCTCTTTTGGTCATCAGCCTCCTCAAGGACACTGTTTGGGATGCAGCAGAACAAATAGATTTGAAAGAAATCACAAGTGGAACAAATCCGTTCGCACCTTTGTTCACCATGATGGACCAGCTATTTCAATATGAAGAACAAATTGAAGTTCCATATCGGTGCGAAGAGTTCTTTCAAAGCTTCAATCGTCAGAAGGGAGAAGAAATGCAGGCATACCTCATTCGCCACCGCACTGCTTTGAAGAAACTTCGAGAGGTCAAGATCGACATTCCACCACTTCTTGCTGGATGGCACTTGTTGACCCGAAGTGGAACTCCAAAATGGACACACGTGCAAGTGAAAGCATTGTGCAAAGGCGAGCTTGACTATGAAGAGGTCCAACGAGCTTTGCTTCGAATGTTTGGTGGAGATCACAAACCAAACACCAAGGACATTGGACCTGTTGCCAAGTCATCCAAAGACGAGTTCTTCTATGAGGAAGACTTTGATGAGGAGTTCTACTACGAAGGAGAAGAAGAAGATGATTGGCATGAAATCTACTATGAAGGTGATGAAGATGAAGAAGAAATCCCTGAGGAGCTTGAAGAAGCATACGAAAACATGGATGAAGCTTACATCTCCTACTTGGAATCAAGGAAAAGAATGAAGGAACTTGCCTTGGCTCGTGGCTTCTACCCCGTCGTAGCCATTGGTCCTGACTTCGACCATGGCAAAGGAGGCAAAAGCGAAAGAAAGGGAAGCTCAAAGGGCAAAGGAAAGAGTAAAGGAAAAGGAAAGGGAAAAGGTAAAGGAAAAAGCATGTTTCCTCGACGCCCAATGCATGGTCTTCGAAAGCCACCATCATCGTCGACCACTACCTCCTCCGAGTTGAGATCAACCCTGACCGGTTCCAATTCTTCTCATGGACCGAGGTTCAAACGATATCGAGTGCAAGCACAAGGTGTCAAAGAAGTTGGAGGTGAAGAGGTGACCATGGTGGAGGAACTAGCGGAAGAGTGCTTTCAAGAGGACATCTTCTTTGCCACCCTTGCTCCTGGTCATGCAATTGTGGATTCAGGTGCAACAAGAACACTGGTCGGAGAAGAAGTGTGGAAAGAATGGGTCGAGCACTATGATGAAGGCCTACTTGGACCTCTCCGTACTCAGGCACAAAAGCGATCCTTCAAGTTCGGCGGCGGAGAGATGCTTGAATCCAACTACGAAATCTCCTTCAACGCCTTGGTGAAAGGTCAAAAGCTGCCCATCACGGTTTCAGTGGTACCTGGGCACACTCCCTTCCTGTTGGCGAGACCAATGCTGGAACAATGGGGGGTGAAACAAGACTACGCCAGTGGCAACATGAAGGTGGCTCAATCCGAATGGTTTCAACCAAGTCGTGGACAAAAAGGCCACTATGTCTTGAACTTGTTGGAATATCATGAAGACGAACAAGAGATGAACTACATCATGGAAGAAGAGGTTTTGATCACGACAAGTCCACTGGAAATTGAACCGCCCTGTGAGACAGAACCGTCTGACATTGCAGAGCAGATCCTCATGGAGTCCGAAGCAAATGAAGTCGAAGAGATTTCTCAACAAGTTTTGCAGCGCCTTCAACAAGAAAGAAAATTGATCTTCTTTGAGGTCTATGTGGATGAAGGCAACCTGGCTACAGAACTGTTGAAATGCTTTCCAGACTGTGAGGTCGCTACTTTCAGCCTACCTCATTGGGACTTTGAAAAAGAAAATGACCGAAAAGCATTCCTCAAGTTGGTGAGAGAACAAAAGCCTCACTTCATCTGGTGTGCACCACCGTGTACGAAATGGTCACCAATGCAAAGGCTCAACATGATCAAGGCCGAAAAGCTAGCCTACATCCTGGAATTGCAAAAGCAAGAAGAAAAGCAACATTTGAAACTGGTTTTGGATGTCACCGACATCTGCAACTGGGAGATCAATGCCGGCATGGCCATGGAGCATCCTCATTTGGCTATGTCATGGAAGACGAAAACCCTGGAGTCCATGGATGGTTATGATGCAATCTGCAACCGATGCAGGACCGGTTTGTGCTACTATGATCGCATGGGAAACTATGTCGGAAAGGTCAAGAAACCTACGAGGATTCGCACAAACAGCCAAATGGTCTTTGAAGCACTGGATCTTCCATGTGAATGTCTTCCTGGAGAGCATGTTGCTATGGATGGAAAAGCAGAAAGCTTGAAGAAAATGCAAAACTACGAAAGAGGCTTCGTGAAAAGAGCAGCAAATGCCATCTATCAGGAGATGGAAGAACGATGGCGACAAAGAGAGATAGCCAAGATCTATATGGTTGAAGAGCAGGATGAGAAAAATAAAGTGAAGAATGCATCCAACATCACTGAAGAAGAGAAGAAGCTGATGAAGACCCACAGCAAGCAAAACCTACAGGTCATCAGCAAACTGCACAAGCAACTTGGACATCCAGGTGTAGATCGGATGATCAAAACGCTCAAAGATGCAGGTATGGATGAGTCTCTGATCCGATGTGCCAAAGACTACAAGTGTGAAGTGTGTGAGCAACAGGCACAACGGAAATTGGAGAAACCAGCTTCACTGCCTCAGGCCAGTCACTTCAATGAATGTTTGGCATCCGCTGGAATGGAGAAAAGCGAAAGGTTTTGGCCATCCTCGACATCTACTCCAAGTACGAAATCAATGCTGTGTTGGAGAGAGAAACTGAAGAAGCTGAACTTAAGATACTTCGTGAACAATGGCTTCAAACTTTTGGTCCTCCAGAACGATTCCGAACAGACCAGTCAGGAGCTCACATGAGTCAGAAGTATCTGGACTTCTTCGACCAAAACAACATCAAGCTGATCCTCGTGCCCAAAGACGCTCACTATAGAATGGGATCAGTGGAAAGACTCCACGCTGTGAGAAGAATGCAGCTGCTCAAGATGCAACAAGATGAACCGAATGTACTCCTTGAAGAAGCTGTTCCAGTTGCTTGTCATCAACGAAACCGTCTTCGTTCAGTGCATGGTAGCTCACCATACCAAATCGTTTTTGGACACAATCCTCAATCGAACGGTCTTTGTGATGAACCGTACTTGTCCAAACCGCTCGATGACACGGAACAGCACCAAAAAGATCAAGCACTTCGGTATTCAGCAGCAAAAGCATTTTATGAAGCCAACAACAACCAGCTGCTCAAACGTGCACTTCTTGCCAGGCCACGGTCTGAACATGTGGCCGCCAGCCTTGGCGATTGGATCTACTACTGGAGACAGGGGGAAAACAAACTTGACCCCACTCGCTGGCGTGGCCCGGCATTGGTCTGCGCCATAGAGCCCCGCAAGAACGATGACGGCCGCATCCGAGCTTCTGTTTACTGGGTTGCTCATGGCTCCAGTTTGGTGCGTGTTGCAAGTGAGCATATTCGTGCCGAGGTGGCTCGAGAACGTGTTCATCGATTGGAAACGCAACCTGACACAGCTGTTTCAAACAGTTTGGTTCATCGAGTTCGACAAGCTCTGACCCCTGTGCAGGGTCCTGTGCGTTTTCTTGATCTTGCAGGGGATCCCACCTTTTCGAATGCAAAGGCTGACACTTCTGTACCTCCTCTGGTACCACCAGAGAGTCCAGAAGTTCCTCCTCTGGTACCACCAGAGGAAGTTCCAATGTCAGAACCTCAAGCCGAAGAAGAAGTGACAACAGAACCCCAGCACACTGCGGCAGCAGCAGAACACAAGACAGCAGCAGCCAGCACGGCAGCAGCAGAAGCTGAAGCAGTTGAAGTAGAAACAAAAGAAAACCAAGACCCAAGTGGCCGAGGCAGATCGAGAAGCCCTCCACCTCATGACTCTCGGCGCAAAGACTTTGAAAACCTGTATGAGTCCTACAACAAGGCACGTCAACTTGATGGCCTCCCGCCTGTTTCTCGAGATGATCAGCAGCTGAAAAGTCAATATGACATGCTGTATGGTGAGGAAGTTGATTGGCTGGACGAAAATTTCGTGGCCACTTCATTCAGTGAGAAGAACCTCACCAAAGAGCAGAAAGAAGAGTTCGCCGAAGCTCGCAACAAGGCTTTGGATGTCTGGTTTGAGAATCAAGCATGGCGACCAGTAGATGCCTCCGAAGCCCAACCAGGCGAAGCAGTACCAGCAAGATTTTTGCAGCGCTGGAAGCCAACAAAAGAAGGGCAGAAAGCAAACGCCCGAATCATCATACAGGGATTCAAACATCGTGATGTGCTCGAAGACACTGTAGATAAGGAAGCTCCTACTTTGTCCATGGTTGGTCGCAGCTCCATTTATCTTTTTGCAGTGGTTCGTCAGCTCAAGCTGTGGAGTGCTGATGTGAAGACTGCTTTTCAACAAGCAGACAACATCGAACAAGAAGCCCGAGTGTTCATACAGCCCTCAGCTGAGATTCGACGCCTCCTGGAAAGAAAGATTGGATTGAAACCATGGCAAATCATGCGTGCATCCAAGCCCGCTTTTGGTGATTGCAGAGCTCCAAGACAGTGGAATGCAACTGCTCATAGGTGCTTGACTGAGGAACTTGGCATGATCCCACACCCGTTGGATCGTTGTGTGTACCTCAGCATCCGAGCTGCGTATGAATCTGATCCAGCTTTCGAAGTGTTCCAATGGAATGGTGTCCCTAGCATTGTTGATGGCATTTTTGGACTCCATGTGGACGACTTCATCGGTACTGGTGAAGGTTTCTGCAGTGAGCATGATTTGAAAAAGGAATGTCCCAATGAAGAGTGTTTCCTCAACCGCATCCTGCGTTTGGCTCAGCGTTTTCGTTTTGGTGCATGGGATTTTGGAAATGGCTCAAAGATCATCTTTTGTGGTGCTGAACTGCAACAGTCGTTAGACTACTCAACCATTTCGGTGAGTCTGGCTAACTATGTACAGAAGGTGAAACCTATTTCATTGGACAAATCCAGGAAAACAATGACGGAGTCTCCATGCGATGAACGTGAACACCGACAGTTCCGTGCCCTCATTGGTGCGCTGGCATGGCCTGCTCATCAAAGCATCCCTGAGTTGTGTGCAAGCGTGAGCATTTTGCAAGCATCAGCAAGCAATCCATGTGTTGGTGATTTGAACCAAGCAAACAAGCTGCTTCGTTTTGCAAAAGAAGTTTCAAAAGATCACCAACTGTACATGCGTGGTTCATGTGCTTTTTCTGAGTTGTGCATTGGAACCTATACCGATGCTGCTTGGGCCGTGAGACCCGACGGATCGAGCCAAGGTGGACTTTTGGTTTTCATTTGTTCGCACCAAGAGCTGGAATCCGGCAGCATGATGCCGCTCAATGTCTTTTATTGGAAATCGCACAAGTTGGCACGTATTTGTCGGTCAAGTTTGTCCTCAGAGGCTCAAGCAGCCGCCATTGCAGTGGATGAGCTTGAATGGTGTAAGATTTTTGTTTCTGTCATGATCGACCCCACCTTGCCGATCGAAAGTCCGGAAGCATTGCAAAAGCTTGGACCATCCCCGCTTGTGACAGATGCAAAATCTTTGTTTGATGCTGCCAAGTCCTTGTCTCCCAGCATGAAATTGAGTGAGAAAAGAACTGCGATTGAAGTGGCGATCGTGCGAGATCGCATGAACGCCTTGTTGGGAAAATGGATGTGGGTGAACTCACACCAACAGATCTCTGACGGCTTGACAAAGCCGGCTTCCAGAGATTCCATGGCCTACATCATGAAGCGTGGCACCCATCAACTCAAGTTCAACCCCGACTTCACAGCCTCCAAGAAAGTGTCCTCGGAAGCCAAGAAAGAAGAGAGGGAAATCCATGAAGCTTTTTCAAAAGAAATGGAAGAACAACAAGTTTTTGCAGTAGAAGAGTGGCAAAAGCATGAACAAGGTCTTTGTTTACTTCCAAGTTGCTGCAAACCCCGCAACGAGAGTGATCCTCGAAACAAATACTGCAGCAGAAGGCATTTTTATGCCCACCGCAGCTCAAAGAGCCATCAAGACGAATGGAAGAATGCAGCCTTGTTTTCCGCAGCCATTTTGATGGCCAGTGAAGCGCCTCTTGCTGAAGGAGCTTTGACATCTGGTGAAGCTGAAGGATGGAGTTCGCCAGTCCTCATGTCCTTCCTGGTCATCATGATCTTCGCATGGATTGGCCTTGAAAATGTGTTTCTGCGTTTTGGCATTGAAACCATCTTTTACAAGGCCTACCGCTTTGCAAATAACAAGGTGACGAACCTGTTCAGAGAGGAGATGAATGAAAATGAGCAGGTTGTTGAGAATGACCAAGCTTCTGCGAATGCCCCAGTGACTGAGAACCCGCTCCATCCTCCTAGCCATGTCGTTTCCGCAGCTGTTCAGGCCGATGAGGTGATCCTAAATGCACTGACTTTGGCCCGTCGTCCTGGAATAGATTCAGGAAGCACGACTACGAACACAGAGTCGGATCTTCCAGATGAAGAATGGCATCGCTGGAGTCGCATGAAGGTGAGAGTTCAAAACGAGGCTGGACAAGGCCCATACCGTCGCCTTCTATGGGAACTCGAAAACCATGATAGCAGCCTGGATTCCCAAACAAGGTGCGTGTTGCAGTCTGAGAGCTTCACTACGCAGCGCTGGAGGAAATTCAGTGAATTGCTTCGAGCTCAGGACACCTCACAATTTTCTGATGAGCAAGTATGTCAGTGGCACCGAATGTGGAATGACAACCTGGTGTTTTTGGCTGACGTGAATCGTCGCATCGTTCGTCAGAGAAATCAGATCATTGCCTTGGAACGCAATGACCGTGTTCGTGAGCAAATCTACAACGGTGAACTGGCTGATCGAACCTGCCAGACTCCTATGACGTTTGTTGCTGGCACTCGACCAAGACGCCTGGCTGAGAGAGAACATGGTGCCTGGTACCATGTGAGTGATTTAGATGTCCTTCGTTGAAGAGGACTCTAGCCCGCTTTTTGAATTTTCTTCGACAGCCCTTGAAAACTTCCTTGGGCGTGTCAATGTTGCGAATGCACATGTGAGATTTGTTTTCCATTTTGCAATGCATTTCATGATGAGAGCGGATAGATGACATTCGAGTCACACCGCAATCGAATTTCAATTCTCAAATCCGGCCGAAGGGCCCTTGAGTCACCAGCGGCGACGACCTTCGCCATTCGTTTGGCATTGAAGAAAGGACGCATCGCGGCCTTCGAGTTCTTTTTCTTTGGTTGCTTGGAACTTCGTGAGTTCAAGTACTTCGAGAGAACCCTCTTTTTTGTCGCGCAGATCTAGCAGAGATTCATTTGCCAATCATTCGATTTTCATGTAATTTCTTGGTGTCACTCCTGAGGCTCTGAACAGACCGAGGCAGGTTGGACTTGAGGGAAGCCTCAGTCCTTCAAGACCTGAACAACAGCGTACCCCGCTCCAGGCTGAGGACGATGACGGCTCCGTGCCGTGGTCGCGACCTCATTGGCTCGGCCCTGAGGCTCTGAAGGTGGCCCACAGCAGGTTTTGACAGCTGGTCTTGGCAGCTGGTCTTGGCCCTGTAGAATCTGCAGCAGCTTTTGAGGTCTCAGTGGTCCACCACAGATTTGATCCGCCAGCTCGGCCTGTTTGGCGTGATTCCTTTGTAACGACACCTTCATACTGACAAGTTGCACATTCAGGAAACAAGTTTGGTCAGGTTGGTGTGATCGGCGTAGAATTGACCTCAGTGGATGCTTCGACCGCGAGGTGCCAATTCACAGCGCATTTCTAGAGCTTCAACTTGATGACGTTCGGCTTCTCAACGTCCAGGCTGTATTGGACCGAGTGATCCAAATTGCCAAAGAGGCTAGTTGCCACTGTGTCACATGACACAAACATGGGTCAAGTTCCTCAACTGGTTGCAGGAGATGGCAGAAGCCGAGAATGAAAGCAGGCGACCTCTAAACTTGTGCCTAGCACCTTGCTTTTGGGTCTCTCTCTCTCTCTCCCTCCTTTTCTCCCTTTTTTTGGGTGTTTGTCTGAAGGAGGAACAGGATGGAACCAGCCATTTCTCGCCAGCTTTACTGAGTCTGACGACCGGTGCGTCTGGCACCTTTTTTGGGACGGTGCGTGTGGCCTCCAGGGTGCCATCCTCGACCGACGCGGGCGGCCTCCGCGGGCGCCTCCGGGGGCCTCGCCGGTCCGTCCCAGGTGAAGACGGATGGCTCCTATACGAGGCCTCCGACCTTGGACCGTCGCAATTCAACCTACGGTGCACAGCTCAGAAAGGGAGACTCACCATAGTTTCAGAGCAGAAAGTGAGGAAACACGGAGAAACTCAATAAATTTCGGCACACTACTGTACTAAACTTAGATCCACTTGGTCCTTGCTGTACTAGACAACTTAGAGCCACAGAGTCAGAGGGACCATCAGTCTACACCATGATTGAATCTTTTTCTGAGGCAACCGCGTCGAACGTTTCAATGGAGTCGAGTCAGACGTCCTGCAAGATCCTGAGGCTTTCAGCAATGTGAGATCTATGGCGGTCAGTGATGACAAAAGAGTGTGAGAGAGATTTGCAGAACCTAAGGCCTTGGCTGTACAGCACCGGAGACAAGTCTAGGTTGTACGGTGTGTACTTTGGCAATGAGCCCGGAGCTTGTACACGGGGACAACTTAATGACGAAACAGAACTTATATATTTGTGGCCAGCTTCGCACCCTGGCCTTGCATACAGGTTTGCATACAGCTTGGTGTGGACAAGGCGCCCTTGGTTTGTGAGCAAAGGCAACTATTGAGAATCGCAACCCTTTTGACACAGGGAAAGACCACACAAGTGTCAAAGCACGATTATATACAGAGCGCTATATGTACTCGTCATCATGGCATTTGCTGCCTATTCACAAGAACAACGCATGCAATAACATGGAAGTAACGGCATCATGGTACCATGCTGAGTTCTCAAGATATGGAAGTTTCTCTGCTGTCCGTTTTGGCAACATCGAAGGCAAAAGTTCTGGGGCAGACCTGGTTCCAGGCGAGCACCGGAGACTTGCGAGACACTTGCGTGAGAGAAGATTCGGCCAGATACGCATATAAAGACTATAGATACACCACAGACATGGACAAATCAAATTTATATTATCAGCTCCCAGGATCTCTATCAAGCCTCCTTCCCTCGTTTTCAACGTTGTGATAGCATTTTTACCTTTGACTCATACAGGGCTTGTTTGATGTCGTCCTCTCAATCCACCAACAGTAACATTGACATTGGGGGCGCGACGGTCGCCGATGAAGCTGAGGGTTTGAAGTCCACCTGCCATATGCTGATCGAAAAGTTGGCAATTGACTCTTGACAAACTTGGAAGGCTTTGTTTCGGTTTCTAGGTTGAATCGCTTTGACGAATGGTGAGAAGCTGAATTGCTGCGTGGCCTCACAGTGGCAGAGCGTTGGAAAATAGATATTGAGCTGCTGCATTGGTAGTTTTCATCGTTGAGGTTTGGGGCAAAAGAAACTAAGATCCAGCACAGAAGCACAATGATGGCTGACTGGTCGCAGGACATATATTGAGCAACACAAACATTCCCAAAGACAGTGATCATGAGCATGTGAGTATTGCTGGAAACCTAAACCATAGAATTGACAACGAGGAGTTTGGATTAGATGCAATCATGTATAGGATGTAGACTTCCTCATGGTCGTTCCGTACATAGCACAAAGCAGGTTGACACTATTCAGGGGCAGTGACAGATCGATGAAAAACAATCAAACCAGTAATCCACTACTGGATCGTTTCAGTTGCTTGCCATGCTGAATGTGGAGGCTGGTTGCATATGACTTGGCTGCACTTTGGCGGCTCTTTGTGTCTAAAGGAGAGAGGACACCACAGGGGCTAATAGGTTTTCTTCAGATGCTCTAGGAATTCCTGAGCCCTGAGCTTCGGCTGGCCATGTGCCACGTACGGCTACCAAGCGCACTATGATGGTTGCTTTTCGTCTTGACCCTGAAAAGATATCCTCATTGCTCATCCAAAAGTCAGCTTGCAATCGCCTTCCTTTCTAGCCCCAAGGTCAAGGAAGCCATACGGATTGTTTTGCCAGACCCTCAAAGACAAATGATGTCATCCAAGGATAACCAGGACAGTGACTGACAGGGCCTCCATTCTTCACTTCTTTCCATTTCTTGGTCGTTTGAGTCAGGCACTGCTTGGTGGTTTGTCGCACCATCGGGGGTGCAGACTCGATAGTGCGCCTGCCATGTTGATAGAGAAAGAGAGAGAGAGAGAGAGAGCAGTGGGGCCGCCCCGAAAACCGATTTTCCTTTTCAAGCCGCCCTTTTTGATGACTCAACATGACTCAACATCTTTCTGCGAAAAACCTATCGTTGGAGTCTTGTTTTCTTCGCTGTGGTGGTGTTGAGGATCCGAAGGCTGTCGTCTCCGAGCTCTTTGATGTGGAGTATGTCCGGATCAATGAGTCTCACCATGTGCAGGTCAGGTTGGTACGGTATGTCCTGTCAGTTTGTCTTGCGGCAGAATGGTTGTGAACGTTCAGTGGAAGGAGCTTGAGCGCACTGTAGAGAAGTTCTCTGAAATTTTGGAGAACAACCTGGACAGATCAGGCCTGGACATGACTTTTTTTCTGATCATCCATGAATCCTGCAGCTCCTGAGAGGCACCGGCCGGGCACAGCTCGTTTTCAACCTCTACACTGTTAAGACTCGGAAGCAAAGCCTTTGGCGAGGGTCTTAGCGCCTTTAGACTTGAAAAGACTTCTTAGCGTCTTTTCTTGTTCTAAAACCCACGAAGACATTGTTGGTGAAATGACTGCCACCATTGCAATCTTTTTGCCATTGAGTACCCTGTCAGGAACAGGATTGTGGGGAACGAAGAAAAGACCGTTTTCGAGCAATGGAGAATTCCCGTATCTGTGCAGCCTTTGAACAGGCCAAAGTGGATACCTTGCAAGTCATCACCCTGTGCTGCATTTTCGGTGTTGTGTTCTGGGGATGGATGGACAGGTATTTGAATCCTGCAGACAACTTGAGAGAGGAGGCAAATTTGCAGGCTCGGCCACACTTTTCAGGGATATAGACCCTTCCTTTCGAATATTGGACAGTGTTCATGTTTTCAAGGCCTCCGCTTCGCAACAAGTGCAGCAAGTCCTGCATTACATAATCGCCAGAGCCAACAGCAAGGCGGCCGGGGTTTGCAACTTGCTACGAAAGCCAGCCGATTAGCCTGAAAGTTCTGTTTCGGTTGAACGCAGTGAGTTTTAGAGCCTGGAGCAAAACAAAAACAACTTTGGTGGACAAAAAAGGTTGCGTTATGAAGGCTCTTGTGATGCGAGTGATGCCGGGACGATGCTAGCACTTTTTGCATAATAAATAATCTAGGCATGACGACATTTTTTGGAAGTGCTTTGGCAAATTCGTCGTTCCAGTATGGTAGCATATGGTAAAATATGTTGATTTATAGGCCTTAAGCCCCATTTTAGGGTCGGTGTCCTTGTCCGAGCTCTTGTGCGATGTGTTTGAAGGGCACCTCTGCAAAAGTGGTTCTAGCACCAAGGTCTCCCAGAAAAGAACTTGAGTCAGGAATGTTTTTTGTTGGTGCCCTTGTGTGCCTCATTTGAAGGCCGTCCCAGGCCAAAGAAGGCACCTGGGAATGCGCTCTAGCGATGCCCTGACAAAGCAGGACATGGCAGATGCACCTTCGAGCGTTTTGATTGAATCTTGCAAGTCGCTGCTTGACGTGCACTTTGCCATGTGGGGGCAAGCTCGTAAAGCGCGGGAGTTTTGGCTGCTGCTTGAAATGAATGGTCGATCCACCGTGGAGTGGAAAGACACAGTCGGAGCTTCTTGGTTGATGCCCTGGTGCGCTTTGTTTGAGGGCCACCTCAGGGCAAAAAGGGCGCAAATGAACAATTGGTTCTAGCACCAAGTTCCCGTTAAGGCGGAATTTTTGTTGGTGCGCTTTTGCGCCTTGCGTGACGACTGTTTTGGAGCAAAAGCGGGCACCTCCGAAAAGCGGGCTCTGGCGATAAGACGCTTGACAAAGCGGGACGTGGCAGATGCGTCTGCGACCATTCTCATTACATATATATGTAAATCTTGCGAGCCGCTGCTTGAGATGAATTGCCGATGCGTGCGTGCAAAGACCGTGTGGTTTACCGCTCTATATTTGCAAGCAGAAAGCCGAAGAACCATTTTTAAGCCTCATGTCTGGGTTGGCGCCCTGCTGAGCTTTGTTTGAGGGCCATCTTGTAGAAGTAGCCAAAGGGGAACCTCTGCAGAAGTGGGTTCTAACACCAAATTCCACCAGAAAACCTCCTTAAACAGGAGATTTTGTTGCTGCCGCTGCCCTTGTGTGTTTGGTTTGGAGGTTGTCTGGGGCAATAGGGCCATCTCCGAAAAGCTGGCTCTAGCAATAGGACATTGGACAAAGCAGGACGCGTCAGATGCACCTTCGAGCCTTTTGACTGAATCTTGCGAACGACTTGGGCATTATCAGGGGGCCTGCGCGGGAGTGTTGGAGAGTCACATTGTTTGTTGGAATTTATTGAGGGAGAGACGCCGTTTTAAGCGGTTGCGAGGGCTGGCTTTCGTCCCTTCACTTCTCAAGTTGTAGAGATTGCGTTTCAGTCGTTTGCAAGATGAGGTGGACCATCTTCCTTCACCGGAGAAAGATACAGTCTCCTACAAGTTTGAGGTTGCCTTCTTGTCTGGAGATGGGAAGGCGGGTCTACATAGGCGTTTCAATTTTCTATGCATTTTCTCGTTTGTCAAACACTCTTCATGCTCACTCATGTCAACTCCATGGTTCAATTCTGCTGCTTTGACTTCTGATTTATGGGGGCAGCATTCAACAACCCGCTGTCGCCAATGGAGGAGATTGGTGCTGGATCGTTGCTTCCGCAAGGCCAGACGGTCCCACTTCGGAGGTGCACAGCGGTGCGTGACGATCTGTGGCATGTTGATCCGAGGCCTGGGATCTTTGAGCCAGACGATCCGTCACCTACCGACATGGCCCCAGCTGTGTCGCTGCCGTGGCAGCACCAGTCAGATGCGCCGTGCTTCTTTGGTGTTGTTTTTTGGCATAGCTAAGGTACATGGCGTGAGAATGCGAAAAGCCTGAGTGGCCAAGATTTTCTAGTCTGCTAAAAGTGCGGACTTGAACTCTTTGTCAAAGAGTCTTTGAGAACTTAGCTTTTAAACTTGGTTTCAATTCATCCTGTTCCTTCCACAGGCGGTCTCAATGCGTTGCACCGCGTCAAAAGCTGGCTTTCGGTTTGATACATTGCTTGCTTGCTCCTTGCTGTCCCACCTTGTTTGTCGTGTCATTCATGGACCCCAAGTTCATGGTTAGTTCCTTTGCTTTCGCATGGCCCAAGATGAATACAGCTTTTCCATCATGGCAAGTGAGGTGGGGATGATTTCCTGAGTTTCTGACACACTTTCGATTTGGCCTTGGAGGCCACGACCTTCATCAAGAAGGTGTCCAGTGCCGGAGATGACTATTACCACATCTTAGGCGGGGGAACATTCTCCGTCAGCCTGCGTCATTTTTTGAGAAGCTTTGCAGGCATCGAAAAAGGAGCAAGCGATGATGAGATTAAGAAGGCCTCACATGGAACTGGTCAACTCCAGATCAAGTGGATTGGCTTCTTCTCCCTTCTTCGCAAGGCGTACAGAAAACTGGCCTTGCGACTGCATCCCGATAAGTGCAAAGAACCCGGAGCAGAAGAGGCCGCAAGAGTTGAGCTTCACACTGGTGCGCAACACATTTACCACAAGACCTGCTGTTCAAAGGTCTGTGAGCGTTCTGTGCAAGCAATTTTGTTTTTGGCAGCTTGGCTTTGGCTGCAGGCTTTCAAGAAAGTAGGGGAGGCTTTCTCCGTACTCAGCGATGCAGACAAGAGGCCACATCCCCAACCTTCATCCCCTGAACTTGGCAACGAACAGTTTTTCCAGATCCAAGTGGTATCCGTCAATGGCAGTGAAAAAGGGACACCAGGCTAGACTCAATTGTATCATAAACCTGTGAGCCAGGCGGAAGTACGACACGTACGGAGCCGATGCATTGCGAGGCCAGACATTCATTGGGCTACCTTCACTACGGAAGTTCTTCTTTCATACTGCCATGTGCTCCAGCACTTTCTGCAAGTTGTAGCTTTAGCATCTCAGAGTGGCAGGTGGTGGAGGTGGCGGGGCGGACTTTTCGCCCGAAGACCTCTTTGAGGCTCTCGAGTTGCTCGTGCGACATTCCGTGAAATCGCGACAACTTTCGCTTCACTTCTGTCCCCGAGGCCTTCTTTGGCGGCGGATTGCATCCGGGCATGGGTGGTGGCCGGACCTTTATGAGGAGCCTCATCGCTAGCAAGAGAGCCTTTCAGGCCCTAGGTCATTTGGGTCGTGGACTTATCTACCCTTGCTAAGAGTATCAAAAATAGTTTGGAAAGGCTCCTCATTAATTGAACATTCAAACAGAAACACACTGTGCTTCATGAGCGCCTTGAGAAAAACACATAGAGGCTTGCCCCTTCCTGTTTCAGCCTCTCCCGGTTTCCACAGGACTGGTCCCGGGACTTTTGTGTTCACCTCCTCAGGCAGGTGATTTGCTGTTGCCGAAAGAATTTTGCATCGCAGGTCTTGAGCCATGATTGCCTCCTGGCATCGCTACTAGGAGCAAGGACGCTACTAGGGGCTCCTGGCCTTACTACTAGGAGCAAGAAGCTACTAGGAGCAAAGGGCATCGCTTCTAGTAACAAGTGCCTTACTAGTAGTAACAAGAAGCTACTAGGAACAAGTGCATCGCTACTAGGAACAAGTGCCTTACTAGTAGTAACAAGTGCATCGCTACTAGGAACAAGGACGCTCTCGACAAAACGGTCGGTCCAAAACACTGGCAGGTCCTGGCGGCTTCAATTTTTCGACGGGGCCAGGCAGTGACACGGACGAAGGGGCAACAAGGGGGAAGTTCTTTCAAGGTTCATTCCGATTCCAGGTTGATTCAGATTTCCTTCGCTTTTCGGGTTGTGGAAAATTTTATGACTTCATCATGCCATTTCCACGCCAGAGCAACCAAACCTGGAAAGGCATGCGAAGGAGGGGTGCTCCTCCACAAGCACGGCAACGGCAGGAGGACGGACGCACCCCCTCGACACGTTCCGCTGCTCGCGGATCAGTGGAATGAGATGCAGAGGACGCAGATGAGGAGGAAAGCATGCCGCCCTGGATGGCGCCACTGCAGGCGATAGTCGCCACCCTAGAAGGTTTGCTGATTTACCGCTCTAACGCTTTTGAGGGGGCTGGTTCTGTGGTTTTTGAGGTGTTAGAAGCTGGAGTGACGGTCACATTTATGCGATCTAAATAATATGACACATCTTCTCTTTGATACCTCTACATAAAATAGGTTCCTGCCTCCGTTTAGTCTAGTCGGTGGATATCCTGTCTATCAGTTTTGAAGACGTGCACCGTCTCTGAGGCCTCCTCTCTGGGGCCCATGCTTCCAATTGTGATTGTTTGTGTTCCTCACTCAGCTGAACTCAGCTTTTCGCTTCGGGAAAGACAGAAATAGTCTAGTTTGAAAGAGATGTCCTCCAACCTACTAGCCATGGCCTCCATCCACTAGCGATGGCCTCCACCCTAGTAGCGATAGCCTCCAACCTAATTTGAGACGAGAGACGTGGTTCTTCGTCAGCGAGTGCTGCTTTTCGCCTGTTGACGTCGGAGATGCCGACATCGCTACAGGGCTTCTTCGTTTTCATGTCCGTAGTATCCGTGCTAATGCCCTTTGGCTGCACTTTGCGCCATTTCAACGCAAAGGACTCCTCAAGAGATCTGCCAAAGTCGGACTTGGCACGAGTTGAGATTTTTTGAACGAACTCAGCTAGGCAAATTCTAGTGACAAAGATGGTCTACATCCTCCCGAGTCTTGGCTTTGAAGGGGAAGCATTCCCTGTGCTGCAATGGTCAATGGTTTGGACAAAAATGACATGGCAAGTAGCATTGTGGAATCACTGTGAGTCAATATATATATATATATATATGTATAGATGCATACTGTATGAGTTCTTAAGAAGATGCACAATCTCTCATGTTCCTTGGTGAAAGGGTCGTGTACCTCACAGAGGGGAAGACGAAGATGTGCACCTTGCTGGTTTTCCGTGGGCAGAAAGGGGCCATATGGCAACTCAGTGGGTTTCGTTTGTAAGTCTTTTTCTTCACTGAAGTCATGCATGCCTCATGCCAGATTCTTGATCCTCAGCATCGTGCTCGCCACAATGTTGGGGATGATTTGAGTGCCTTCGTGCTGTTTCCCCGGTCAAGCCTTCTGGCGGCTTCGTCACCAGACTTCAGCTGGATCGGTGGATTGTCACCCCAGTCGCTTTGCTGGGATCACATCGCACTGGAAGATGCCAGAAGATACTTACTAGTCTAGTACTAGTAGCTAGAATGCTACTAGTAGTAAGGCCAGGAGCTACTAGTAGCGTCCTTGCTCCTAGTAGCGATGCCCTTTGTTACTAGTAGCAAGAGTGCTACCACTTGAATGAGTTGTTGCAGAAACAGTTTTGCACACAGTGATTCACTCACCATCACTTGTTTGATTCGGCTCTTCCAGTGTGACTAGCTCGCACTCACCGCAGAAACTGCGGTCTAGTTGAGGGTGCGAGGATTCAACGAAACCAGAGGAGCTCAGACCGAACCGTGGTGCTTCTCTCTGCGCACAGATCAGGGGAAAAGTCGGGAGGCTGTGCGTTTCAATCAATACCTTGCGCTAGCCATGCTTTGCCATGCTTTGCCATGTTTTTTCGCTTGATCGGGGCTCGGCCATGTTGCTCAAACGGACCAGGACGATGCCTTGATTGACGTGGCTAGGAAGATTCCAGTTCTGCTCCTGAGGTCTTTCGTCTCAAGGAGCATGTCGAAAAACAGCTTCATACACCATGGCTGATAAAGAAGAAGAGCTGCTGACAAAGCTTCTTGCATGAATTGGGTGGTTGGGTCAGAACTCGCTTGGTGCTCTGAGGGCTTTACAACATCCTGATTCAGTGTTCAGTGTTTAGTTACTTGGTGCGTGTGTGTGTGTGTGTGTGTACCCCTTGGAATCAGAGGGATCCGTCAGGATTAGCTTTCACTTTTGCTTTACGGCAGGGGGCCACTCCACCCACCACCAGGGAGTGGCCAACGAAGAGCCTGGTGGTGTGGTGCTGAAACGTACCTGCCCAATTTTTAATGGACTTGTGATTGCTGGAACTTTTGCATAAGCTGTGACTCCAATTTTCCTTTTTGGTTACTTGGTTTCGACCGTGAACGTCGGCAGCTTGCTTTCCTTGTCGTTGCATTGCACTTTGACATGTTTTGACACCGCACTGCAACTTGTTTTTTTCATGGCTAGATGCCGCTTTACTTCCTGACCTCTTAGGTTTCCTGGACCACTTAGGTTTCCATATGGCTACTGGGCATCTTACCGAACGCAATTGATAAGTATGTAGCTGTGCGATGGACCTCTACTTCCTTTCTAGGCCTCCTTACCTGTATCCTTAGGAAATGGAACCCTAGGCCGGCGTGTGGCACCGCATTCAGTTCCGTACACAAAATCTCAAGTGTGT